CTAGAAATAGTCAATGTTTAGTTTAAGAAATAGTGACAATACTGTGTTCAATTCTAAAAATAGTCAGTGTTCAACTTAAGAAATAGTCAATATTCAGTTTAAGAAATAATAATAATTAATATTAGTATTAAGTTTAAGAAATAGTGATAATACCAGTGTTCAATATATAAAATAGTGAGTACTCAGTTTAAGAAATAGTGATAATACCCATGTTCAATTTACGAAATAGTGAATGTTCAATTTAAGAAATAGTGATAGTACTAGTGCTCAGTTTAAGAAATAGTGATAGTGTCAGTGTTCAGTTTAAGAAATAATAATAGTACTAGTGTTCTATTTAATAAATAGTATTGATACTCCTATCCAATTCGAGAAATAATTAGTGTTTAATGTTTATAATTGATAATTTTGTTTGCTTGGGGAAATATTGTAGCTATTTGATCTTTCTATTTTTTTTTTTTTTTTTACTTAAAGACGTAAAGTATCAAATTGTTAGTACGATGTCAATACATTTTTTGTTGATTTATTTTTAGATTGTTGCTGGGACAGAACAAAGCCACAAACAACACTGCTGGTAAAGGCAGATAACAATGAGAAGGTGGTGATGTTGAAAACACCCGAGCCGGTGAAAATATTGAAGCTTTACGGACAAATCTACTAGATCATATTTTTATCCGTCAAGAGTCAAGATCCCACTGGAAAATCTACAAAGACTCACAAACTGAAAATGAAACTAGGATAATTTCCAATGGAAGTGGCTCATGCATTCTAGGAAAGTGGGTCCTAAGTGGTAAGCAAAATTAAGGGTGGAAATTGATCAACAAAAGAATCTGAACCACCTAATTACAAATAAGAAATAAACTAATAAAATAATATATATATATATGTATGTATGTATGTATGTATGTACGTATGTATATACATATATAAATAATAAAAGAAATTGGGGAAGCAATTGCTCCCATTTTCTTTAAACGTGCAAAATGGTTTGAGGAGGTGGCCACTCTCCTTCACCCATGTTGAGTTTTACCTCCTCCTTTTCAGGAGGAAGGGGGGATGACAAGAAGAAAACAAGACAAAAAAAGAAAAAAAAGAAAAAGAAAGCAAAACCTGAAGAGAGAACGAACGGCCAAAAGACAAAAGAAATAAATAAAGAACTGATTGACATAATGGCATACTTGTAAATAAAGAGAAGTTTATTTCTAACATAATTGGCCAACAGAATAGCATTGTTGTCAGGGGCAAAGGTGGAAAAAAAAAATCATTTCGTTTTGGGCTTTTAGTTCAGCCCATGTATGTTAAATGTTTATGAGTCTGATATAAATTAGTTTTGTCCTAATGATTAAATATAAAACCCTTTTGGTTAAATAATAGTATAGGGTTATTTTTTTTATTAAATTAAACTTAGCTCAAGTCTTTTTCATTAAAACTTCCATAAATAATTGTTTTTCTTTCCCCTACTTAATAGTAATAATTTTTTTTTTTCAATTATTATAATTTTTTTGCGATTTTCAATAAGGAGATTCGCAAAAGCCGCAAGAGTAAGTTTCTCTCCTCCGCCTTTGATCGATCTATCTAGCTAAAACTTGTGGATTCAATCAATTTATCCAACGATTTTTTTTTTTCATATTTCAAACTTTCTAAATTTCTTTATGCTGTGATTTTAGGGGAGCGAGAAATTAATCAAGATTTCCCCGTAATAGAGAGAAAAAAAGAAATCAATCACCCTGAATGGCAGTCCTGGTAATTATTATACACACACGCCCAGTTTCTGTTTTTGGGTTAGTGTTAGGGTTACGGTTACGGTTTAGAGTTAAGGATGAAGTTTAGGGGTTAGCAACCTAGCTAGGCTATTATCTATATAAACATACTTGTCTTTACAGTCAACCTACATGCTCGCGCACACGCACCTAAAGTTAACCTAGCATCCCCATTTCCACTTGTGCCTACCTGCTGCGTATGGCGAAGATAGAATATGAATATTATTCAGTGTCATTTTATCATCACCTTTTCTTTATAGGTAAGGAGCAACCAGAGGATTTTATGAATCTCAATTCTGATTACGATAGTACTGATGAATATGTGTCGCCAGCGACGAGATTTGTGTTTTTTGTGACTACGTTGGTCAGCACTCCTCTTATGAGTGCCCCAATTATCAGAAGCCCACAGACTCTTGTGGAAGAAAGTTAATTTTGCAGCATTTGTGGTAAAAATGACCACCTGGTTGCGTGGTGCCCATTGGCTCGATCGTGCCCTCCTGGCACAAAAGTTGAACCTGGTGCTGAAATAATGTGTAGCGTCTGTTATACTTACATGTGCTCCATTGAGTCGCAATATTGCAACATAAAACCTGATCATCATACATTTGCGCAGTTAAAGGACTTCTCGGGTGAAGGATCTTCTAGCTGTCATAGAACTAGAAAATGCTGGCGATGGCAATAATGGTCAGGATTATGATAATGAGAACCCAAATACAGAATTCCAACGGTTTCGTTATTCATTTTTTGTGGCCAATCTTGCTCCACATGCAAATGAATTTCTTATTTCAACTCATGGTATAATCATGGTTTTGTGCTCTCTCTCTCTCTCTCTCTCTCTGGTTGGTGATTAAATATCTCTTGTATACAGATTTACTGCTTTATATTTTATTGTCTACGAGCACATAGGATTAGGATAACTTTAAAAAAAAAAAAAAAAATCGCAAACTAGTGCGTTATCCCAAAGATTTGGTTTGAACTTTGAAGCTATAGGTAAAGGACGCTGGCACATTATGTTTTGGGAAACAAGGTTGAGTTGGGTGATGCATACATTTTCGAGTTGTGTATGTTGCCCTTTTTTTTGGTTGTTGGTTGGTTAACTGGCTAGAATTTAATGGCAGAAAAAGCAAGGGGAATAATTGTGGGCTGTGTACCCTGTGAATTTTGGTATACTATCGTACATTCGTAGTTTTTCCTTAATATGAAAGTGTTGAAAATAGCAATATGCTTAGGTCTCATTTGTCTCAAGGGCATATAATAATGATTTAGATTGAGTATCAATCAAAACACGAGCTAGCCCTACGTTAGTTGTTATAAGTGTTTTACTGTACTATTAGTTTGGTCTGTTATATTTGGTGGACTGTTGGTCAACAGTGTCACAAGGTCATATATATGTGTGGGTGATTGATTTTGGTGGTGGTTGATCATATTTGTTGTGGAAAGAAAGAAAAATATGCTGTACATCTAATATGCAATCAATCTTCTGTAGGTTACTGAAATTGATCTCCATCGTCATTTCCGTGATTTATTACCAGATGTTAGAATTGGAGATGTTATAGCAGTAATGGTACACAACCATGAAGATAAATATTATGGATATCTGGAATTCAGGACACGAGAAGCAGCATTATCGGCTATGGAGAAGGGACATCATACTATTATCTGCGACAAGAAAATCAAGGTACAGAGTCTGGTTGGAGATTATAGATGACGGGTCTAGCTTCTTCTTTATAATCATGGTATGCCGGGAGCTATTATAATTAACTTTTGAGTGAAGCAAACGCATACTCATTGTAATTGACAGAGTTTATACTCCGTAGCTAGCAGTAGCATGCTCAGACCGTCATTATATTTTTTTCGAATGATGTTGTACGTGGAAATCACATTGTACCTGATCTGATCGGTCCAATTTAATTCTCTTTTTTCTTTCTTTCTGTTGCAGTGTTGCCCTACATCATTAGTGAAGCAAGATCTGGTTCTTTTTTCCCCATGAAGTTCAGGAGCAGCAGAAGCTTATATTGGCGCCACTAGGTCGCAATAAGTATTTGAGACGACCTCTAGTTTTAAGTTAATTTCTTTGTATTGTAGTTTTTAAATGGTTAAATTGTCATGAAACCTACATAATAAGCAACAAAGTGCAAGTGGCCCGAGAAAAATTTGATAGGCCGTTATTGGAGAGATCTACCAAGATTTCTATGTTAAGCTCATTACGGCTTTCATCTTTTTCTTCCTTACTATTATCTACTTCATTTATATTTAGACGATCGCCCCTTCTTCAAAGGACAATGTTAGGGTATTCAATAAACATCGTTCTGCGACTAGTTCTAGATGACAAACCTAAGGAAACAGAGTGATATATATGGAATTTATGGAGAAATAGTAGAGGAACAAATTTGCTCTCTGATTTGGTTGTAGAAAATTTTTCAAGAAGAACAAATTATCTAACAAAACTTGTTAACCCGATCTATGTTAAAACCTTTTAAAGCTCTAAATTTTACCTCTGGTTTTTCAATCATAGGTAAAGAAAACTTCTCATCGAACTCTACTCTTCCCTGCTTAACTGGTCAGCTAGGGGAGAGGAAGTTAATTTTTCTTGTCAAAAAAATAATTCAGTAACAAATTATCTCCAACGGACTTGGCAAATACCCAGAGACTTGGGACCTTGAGCGCTCCATGGCCAGAGGCTCCCCGCTCAACTCCGCAAATAATTTATTTATTTATTTTTGGTAATAATAACGTGTCTTGTCTTTTTTCCACCACCTCCTTCATTTAGTAATGTTAAAATCGATTGAGTTAATCAATCCAAATTTTATCCAAGTAGCCGTCGGCCGTTCTGTTCCATCATTTCATGCATGAAATGTTCCTCCCTAGTCCCTATATGTTGAGGAAGGAGAGTCGCACCTCTCCGAAATGCTAATTATTCCTTAGCGTTTCACACTTTTAATTTTAGTCCACCTAGGTTAACAAACTTGTATTGTATTTGCGGAGGGTGTTGGAGATGTCACATGAAAAAGAGTAATGTTAGAGAAATAAATATGTAGATTAAATTAGTGAACTAAATGAGATGTCACTATTAGAAAATAAGCACGTTTATCAATGATTAAGTAATAATTCAATTATCAACTTCCATATCATTTAGTTTACAAAATTTAATCTACGAATTTAATTTCCCTATCATTAATCTATAAAAAATGTCTTAAGTAGTATTTCATAGCTTATGTGTGGTTGTTTGACATTAGAAAAAGGACTTGATCTGCCCTGAAGTTTGACCTGAAACTACATTGACCGAAATAGAAGGGAAAGCGTTGCTCTCCGATCCATTCCTCCTAATTCACCAACTCACAGGAAGATTAACTCAGACTCAAGTGTTGCTGAGAAAAAGGAAGCATTGGGTTTGGGCAAAGAAGGAATCAAATGGCAGGAGGTGAGGAAGTGGAAGTCAAACCAATTGACAAGGAAGCCTTCAATTGGGGTTCATTGGAGCTGGTAAATTGGCAGCAAGTGTTGCCATCGGATTGGTCAACCAGGGGATTTTACCACCTTCTCGAATTTTCACGGCTCACCGGAATCCAGAAAGCCGGCTGGATTTTACATCTGTTGGAATTCAGGTTTATCAGAACAATCATCAGGTACATACATGTTTCTTAGTTGGTAGCTTTGGTGTCTCTGGATGATGGATTTAGGCTAAATTATATAGAAATGCTTTGCACAACGGAATCATTTGAAAATCCTTTATTTAGTTAATCTGTAATGCTCATGTAGTATAAATTAGTAATTTAGTAACAACGTAATTCAATTTTATACACTTTGTAAAAAAGCATGTATGTAGCTCTAAGCCTCTAACCCAAAAGGAAAATGATTTCATGTGGAAGTGCCCTTCTTTTTAAACCTGCAACTTTTCTATTTGAGATACAATCATGGTGGTTTTGCTGCACTTCTTGCTATACGAATATGTTTTACGGGTTATGCATCCTAATATTTACGGATGTTACCTCTCGGTTAGTATTTATCGTTAATCCTGTATTGCTGCATTGCTCCAAGTATAAATTAGCCTTCAGTTGCTGAACAAAACAAATTCTTTGCTCATTTATTAGGAAACTTGGATTCCTTAATTAGCTTTGTATTGCTTCCATCTCATTATACTGCTCTTATAGTTCCCTCTCTCTTTTTCTTTTTCGTTAATATCTTGGGCAGGTGGCTGAAGAGTGTGATGTAATCATTTTCTCAGTGAAACCTCAAATACGTACGCCTTCCTTTGCTCGGTTTCCTTTTCCAGTAAATATATGAATATAAGATATCCACCATGTTCTACTCTGTAATAGTTTTTCCTTGCACTCATCTCTTCCAAGCAATGACGTCACTCTCCTGAAATAATTTTGACTGCATTCTGAGTAATGCTCTGTTGAACACTGTTGAACATTGATAATCTTTATTAACTTTTGAAATTGCTAGGTAGATCCGTTCCACACATTAAGTGGAATTTAGAAGGAGAGAGGAGGAGGAGGGAGAGGCTTGGTAGGGGGTGGTGAACTATAATTGAAATCAAATGATGAGAAACCTCTTGACCAAATAACATATTTACCCTAAATAATTGAATATCATAGAAGTGTATGAAATTGGTTTGTTTTGTCCTTTTGATCATATATTGGATTGTTGGATATGCAGTTAAGGAAGTAATCCTGGACTTACGGCCTCTACTTTCACAAAATAAACTTCTTGTGTCGCTTGCTGTGGGACACAAATTGAAAGCTCTACAGGTTTGTATACTGCTATATGAAATTGGCAGCTTGTTACATCAATGCCTTGGTATTAAAATCTCAGTAGCATTAAATTGTGAATCGTGATGTCCCAACTTCTAAATCAATTCATTAGAAAGGTGATATTCTTTAAGCTTATATCCTCCCACTCTAGCTTCACACTTTTTGCCCATCATTGAGTCTCAACTGCAGGATAGCCTCAAAGCACTTGCGATATTTAGAAACTTCGATATGCTTATAATTTATCAGTCCCACGTGGCCTGACTGCTTGGTATACAGTTTGTAATGGAATATCTCCTAGCAACTTAGTAATGTAAAAGCATAAGTAATTTATTGTAAGTTTATGAAGGTTAAGAGTTAGTTTTTGTTGGATCATAAAGAAGCATGGACCTGAAAAATAACACACATTCGAGCGGTTTAAGAGCTCTCTTGGGTACCCTTCCCTTACAAGCTGGTTTTTAAGGACAAGTTTATGCATCGCCTCTTAACTGGATCTGCTAGATTGCTCCTCTTTACTCAGTAGTAATCAATTGTGCTTATTATCTAATTGTGATTCAGCCTGGATCATTAGGTAGTTCATAAACACTGGAATTTTTTTAGCTACAATATACCTGTTATACTATTACAATTTTATTTTTTGAACTGATGATGTTAAAAATTGAGAGAACCGCAACCGATGTACAAATCGGAAGGCCTTTTTTGTTGACCAATCTTCCAAAATCAGTCTTTATGACTTAATAAACTTTATAAACAAATCTATTTTGTTCGCGTATAAGTCATTTTTGTTTCTTTCTTACTAAGGTAATGATGAATCAAGTATCTAGTTAGTAAAAGTGGAAGTTACCATAGAGGAAAAAAATCAAATTTTCTCATTCCCTAGCGTTATTGTGATATGCTTTGTAAAGTTTTCTGGGGTGATTCTTTTACATTGAAGTTTCTGAGCTTTCATATTTTCATTACTTTGTTCAAATCTTCTACTCAGGAATGGGCTGGTCATTGCCGATTTGTTAGAGTAATCCCTAATACCGCTTCTGTCATTGGTGAAGCAGCTACAGGTAACAACTAGTTCCTGGTTCTCACATTTGTTGTCCTTCTCTTTTAGGCCATAAATTGTGCTGTACTGAAATAAATTCCTTCCAATTCTTTAAATTATCGACTTCATGGCCCTTAATTCCTTCAATTAAAGGATTTAATCAATATATTAAGTTCATGTAGAAGGTATTACATTGCTTGGATTTTCCCAATCTGAATCAACTACGTAACCAGTTTTCAGCCTTAGTTTTGTCAACATCAAAACCAATAGATTTTAAATTTATATGAGGATAACAAAGATCTAAAAGATTACGAAGATCTCCAGTGGCCTTCAGTACTAAGAACTCTCATCTGTCAGACAGATGAGCCATTTCCTTCAACCTTGAAACGCTGCTATATTACCGAAGACAGAATATATGTGGATCAATTGCATAGCATTGTTCTAGCTTTATCCTGCAGTCTCCTCCGTGTGACAATGTGTGATTACATGCAAACAGTTATGCACTTGGGTGAAGCTGCAACAGTAAACGACGGTGAGCTAATAGCAGAACTATTTGGAGCTGTTGGCAAGGTGTGGAAAATGGACGAGAAATTGTCTGATGCTGCTGGTGCTGTTGGGTATGTGCATGTCTTGTTATAATTAAAAGACCAGACATGTAAACTGGGCACTATTATACCATTAGAGTTTAGAAAGGCATCCTCTTGCATAAGCATCTCTTATATATTCTTTTTAAAAAAGAAATAACTGAATGGATAGAGACGCACATTGACAGAAGTTCATCAAATTTAGTGGTTTTTTTTTCCTTGGACAATTTTACAGTGGCGCTGGTACAGCATTTGCATCTATAGCAATAGAAGCTATGGCTGATGGAGGTGTAGCTGCAGGCTTACCACGAGAAATTTCTCTGAGTCTTGCTTCTCAAGCTGTAAGTGGAATCTGTGCTGATTATTTTTTTCAAGATTGTCTATGCTGGGTACTTGATGTATGTTTCTGGAAACAATTCAATATTTCTATAAGTGAAGATAGCTAGAAAGCTCCAGACTTGTACTTTCGGATTCACAGAGCACTTTATGGTGAGGGGTTATACAATCATATGGATATTCTCATGCCTCTGTTTTAGTAGCAATAACCCCTAGAAGCACGTATTTATCTTTTGTTTAACATGCTTGTTGCTCTATAGACGCATGAAAAATTAAAAGTTTAAATAAGGGAAACGTGCACAAATAGATCCGGTTACAAATTTAATTCAAAAATTGAATTGGGAGCGACATTAAACAAACAATAAGCGGTATATAAACCACATGATCATAGTAGTTGCCATTATCCACCAAAGTCAAAAACGTCAGGCAGGCTCATGATATGCCATGCGCTTTGCCTATGGAAATTATATTGTTTACGACCTGAGGCGATGTCCCAGGATTATGAACTATTGTTGGCCTCTGATGTATAATCTCTCATTTCTGTTTCTCTTGTGCTGTGCCAAAGTTCTATGGAGCAGCAGCCATGGTGATGAAAACAGGAAAACATCCTGGTCAGCTGAAAGACCAAGTTGCATCACCTGGAGGAATCACCATTGCCGGGATTCATGAGCTTGAGAAGGGTGCATTTCGTGCAAGCATGATGAACGCGGTTGTTGCTGCTGCTAAGCGTAGCCATGAGATGGGTCAATGACTTCACTTTCCGCATGTTAATTTTGCCAAGGTAGGGTTGCATACATTGTGTCGTGACAAGTTGTAAAATTGATCTGTATGCTGGGGAACGATTCACATAAAATTTGTACCAGGTTGCTCGTTGTATGACTCCTACTTTTCTGCATTGGGTTGAAGTGAAGTGGATTTTTCGTCTCCCAGTGCATGAATGTATATTTGAATGCTATGTGAACAAAGTTGATTCTCTCAAAGTATATCTTATAAAAATAATTGTAGATCTGCTTTAATAACGTGTCAAGTTAGAGTAATCACCTCAAAAACAACTGACAACGAGTTCAAATCCTCAAGTTTTAGGATTCATTTGATAACCATGTCGTCTTTGTATGTGTTTTAGATATGAAGTAAACTGAGGAAAAAGAGGGATGAAATGGTGATAGGGATGGCAAGAAGTAAAGAGTAAAAGAATGAACAAAAATTCTTAGAATCCTATGTATCAAACAGGGGTGGGTGCGGGTTGGTTTGAATTGGTTTTGGGTCAAAACCGAATCAAACCGACTAGGTCGGTTTGGGCAAAATTGCAAACCGAAACCAACCAAGTTGGGTCTAAAATCGATCAGGTTTGGTTAACCGAATGTGGCGGGTTGGTTTGGATTGATTTTCGGTTTTTGTGAAGATGAAAAGACATAATAAATTTCTTTTCCAAAAGTTACAGAACATAACATTAGAATGAATGATTACTCAAAAAAAAGTACAAATGAAGCAGCCTAAGGAGCACATCATAGCAGCAACTACTGCATTTTCCAAATGGTGCCCCTATGCTTCTCCAAATGGGCACGTGCAAAATAGAAAGATGAAACGCAAACGCATGGTTAAATCCAACGTCAGAACAGAAGACACGTGTTCAAATCATGATCTCCACCACCAGATCCTGAAACGTGTCGTCAAATCCAATACCAAATCAAATCTGCTTTTGTTCCGCGTCGGAGGATCTTTCCAAAACGAACTAGACGACCGACTAGTTCAGTACTTCTCCTTCCCGCTTCGAGAAAACGTAACAAACTGAACCAGTCCCCCGCAGCGTAGTAAGAGGAATACGACGTCGCATTGCAGCCATGGAAGCGCTACCCATCCCGACGGACACGTACAAACTAGGGTTTATCGGAGCAGGTAAAATGGCTGAGAGCATTGCCAGAGGAATCGTCCGATCGGGGGTTCTCCCTCCCAATCGCATCTCTACCTTCCACCCTCACCCCAGTCGTCGCCAAGCCTTCGAGTCCTTCGGAGTCCATCTCCTCTCCGAAAACGACGACGTCTGAACCCCCCCCCCTTCTCTCTCCCATTTTCCGTGCTTTTACGCGTCTCCGTATCTAATTGAATGACTGAAGTTGCATCGTTGCAGGTGCTCGAAGAGAGTGACGTCGTCATTTTCTCTGTCAAACCTCAAGTTGGTATTTCCATTTTCCATTATCTCGGATTTGTTTGAAAGTTTTGTTTTAATTGAAAGATTTGGCTCTTTTTTTATCTTATTTGTTGAATGATTGAAATAATGTGCATTGATTGTAAAGATATATATGGGGCATGAATGATTAGGTGGTGATTTTGTGGTTGTTTACTAGATAATGATATCATTGTGGTGTTGATTTTGCGCAGTTAAAGATGTAGTTTTGCAGTTGAGGCCGCTTCTTTCCAGAAAGAAGCTGCTTGTTTCTATTGCTGCTGGAGTCAAATTGAAAGATCTGCAGGTCTCTCACTTGCAACTCTTCTTACTTCTATCCACATTGACTGTATGGATTGCCAAAAACCCTGTATTTCATTTTTGAATCCCTCGTTTCCAAGTTAATGTTTTGATTTTGATTGTTTTGCATTCAGTTTTCTGAGGAAAATCATGTTCTGAATCTGTTACATGTGTTAACTGATTTAATTGTTGTACACGGTGTAGTCAAAAGTTTATATCAGGGTATTGCTAACCCAAGTTTTTTAAATAAGCTATATTCTTAAGTGCTACATAAGAATAGATTCACATGGCCGTGGGGCACAAACAGGAAGGAATAAAAAAGAAAAAGAAAATATGCAATGCAAGAAGTAGCTAAGAGTTGGAGTGAATGAGTTATAAATGTTTTCAAAGAAGAAAGTTAGATGTATAATTTTTCCTTTTTACACATTATCGCAGCCACATTTGGAATTTTGGATAGCCGCACTCCACAGAATTAGCTCCCCATCTTCTCTACTATTCCGTACTGGCCAACCTTCTTTCATGTCTCTGCCCTTTTGCAACTCTATGGAGTGACTATGAGGGGGCAGGGTCAGAGAGTGGTTGCGGAAAGACAGAGAGTAGGAAATTAAATTTGTGCGAAGGGGAAAAGGGAGGACCAAAAGCTGGGCTGAGCTAATTAAGTCTTTCATGCATATGTAATCTTTTTGAAGGCCGAGCCAATTCTTAGTTCTTTGTCTGCCCTCTGGATCTTATTAGAAGTTGACAGTGAAAGAGGACATTTTTCCCTTAAGGCCACCCTTTTCTTTGTCTAAATCCATAGGCGAATAAATATATTGTTCTGTTCAGCATTTGGTTTCCTTGCTGTGTCAAGTGAATGGATTATATGATGCTACTGTTTACCAAATTTACTCATAGCAAAGAAAGCAGGACTGGCTTTTCTATCACGGAGAAATGTGAAGTCCTCAATGTTTGGTTAGCTATACGGAGGCTGAAAGACCGATATATAACACAAAACATGCACACTATAATCTGATGAACTGAAGGAGCAATGTATCATGTGCACATAAACTGTCATCACCTTAGCATCCATTCTTAAATTTTTAATTCAGGGGACTTGTAGTTCTCCCCTTTGTTTTCCTTTCTATAGGGAAATAGTGCAGTTCGTAATTTTCCAAAGGTATTTAAGATGTCATGACTGAAAATATAGGGCAACGGGTATTACAGGTCAGTATCTATAAACAACTGTATAATAATCATTATCCCAACTTATTAATGTGCCAAGAACCAGAAAGAATGTAGAGTCGTGTTTGACAATAATGTTGCTGGCATTTCTCTTTGCACAGAGTGAATTAATTGCCCAGACTTACAACAGTTAGCCACTCCCAAGTTTAGCCCCTTTTTCACCCTTCAAATTGTACATAGTAATGAAAATTGAAGTTTCTTAGTAATTTGGGTTACTAGTTTTATGATTTCTGGAACAGAATAATTTGTTTTGGCCTGCATGCTTTAGACACTACCAGGGAGGCATGATCCGGGAAATGACTTTTAAGGATCTAATTTATTTGGAATAAATACTTTTATCATGTTATACTTTCATGCATTGAGTTCAATTTTCTACTTTAATAAATAACTTTTGAGCATGTTAATCTTACTTAATTGAAAATAAAAAGTTGAGTCCATGGCCTCCAGATTTTCATCTATTTTTCCAACAAAATTGTTCCATCCTTCTCAGGAATGGGCTGGTCACAGCCGATTTATTAGGGTAATGCCAAATACTCCTTCAGCTGTCGGTGCAGCAGCCTCAGGTACTTATGTTATCCTTTTAATATTTTAATATTTCATATTGATGTTAAAAATGTATGCTTTATTGTTTTTCTTTATGAACCTGTAAACTGTGCTGGCTACAGGTTGTATTTGAACTTTAGTTTGCTTTGCATACTTACAATGCTAAGATACAATTAGATGCTCCATATATCTATCAAGTTTTCAGTGAAATTTAAGTTGCATAGTGGGCATTTTTGTTGTTAATAGGTTGGTAGGATTTTTCTAGCGTAATATTTCTTTTCGGCGAGCCTTTTCTAAAGTAATATCTACTAAGCATTATGTTGTACTTCTCTCGCCCTGCCCTTCGAACTCTCCCTATGTAAAAACTATCAGCTATTTACACACTGAAAGGTATTTTTCTTAGTATTAACTAGGTAAAAGCTTGGAATATGATATCTGGCCACTGTAGATCATGCTTCTATGATGTGACTGTGGTGACAAGACATGAAATGCAGATTACTTATATCTAGTCACCTGTATTTTAGAATTCTTCAAGTCTCCCTCTAGCTTATGCACATTTTCCTTGGATTGTTTTCATATTATTTGTAATCTGGTGTGCCAATTTTGTAAAATGGATGAAAAATGTCATGCACCACTAATCTTCTGGTGAAATAGTTTTGAGCTTGGGAGGAGGTGCAACAGAACAAGATGGTGACCTCATAGCTAAAGTATTTGGATCAGTAGGCAAGACATGGAAAGCTGATGAAAAATACTTTGATGCGGTTACTGGCCTGAGGTATGTGGCTTTTTGTCTACTTGATTCTGATTCATACTTCAATGCAAAATGTTCCTTATCTCCTACTGCAATTAGAGACTTTTTTCCCTTTCAAGTACCCTTGCAATTAGAGAGGTTTTTCAGTTCGTCAACCATGAAGTATTGTCCAAATAATAGTAAACTGTAACTTAAGAGGTGCACTCATAAATTGTGGTTTGATTAATGCGTTTTATAAACATACAGTGGCAGTGGTCCTGCATATATATACTTGGCAATAGAGGCTTTGGCAGATGGAGGAGTTGCTGCAGGTCTACCTCGAGAACTTGCGTTGGGTTTAGCATCTCAAACTGTAAGTGTATTTATACTGCTTGGTGGTTTAGCGCTCAAGCAGTCATTTGGCATCATCATACCATCGTGTATGTGTGTCTATTTCTCACAAACTTTAACAGTGTAGGTCTTGATCTCCTCGAAAAGGACATTTGACATAAAATATATGAGAGCACCTAATCATGTTACTTCTCAAAGTAAAGCCTTTACCAACAAAGGTGTACAAAAAAATTGACATATTGTATAACTCCTACTGCCTTTGGACCTTGATGTTGGTGGCTTGAACATCACAAGTACATTTTGAAAAAATGGCTCTCTGTGCAAGGTTTAGAGTTTATAATACATTTTCTTGGCGTTTTGCATTCCAAAATATTTTGTCAATTTGTTTCTCATCAGTTTGGTGTTGTGGGGAGGTCTGATTCTTTGTTTCTTTTTTGCAGGTATTAGGTAGCAGCATCTATGGCTTGTCATACTGGGAAGCATCCAGGTCAGCTAAAAGATGATGTAACATCACCTGGTGGAACGACCATTGCCGGCGTTCATGAGTTGGAGAAGGGTGGATTTCGTGGAATATTGATGAATGCAGTCCTTGCTGCTGCCAAGCGCAGCCGAGAATTTTCTCAGAGCTAGACACAGATAGTGACTTTCTTATTTCAACGCATATTCGTTGC